TTGGTAAATATGGTAGCTGGAGGGAAGAGAAGAAAGAAGCACTAGATGAGTTCAAAACAATGTTTCTAAACAGGTTAGCAAGTAAGAGCACAGTGCTGACCAGTGGGAGGCTTTGAGATAGTACAATCTAAGGTAGCAAGAAGAATCCTGATGGGCTTCTTTAAGCCTGGGAGAAAGGTCAAGGCAATACATATTTGTGTCCAACACATTCCCACACATTCCTGCATAGAAGAATTCGACTCAGGCAGATAGGAGGTCCTCTGTCTCCCAGATGAGCCATTGTATGTATATAAATGCAGGGATTGGTCTGAGGATGAGCAAGCCCTGTGGTAGTAACACTGAGAGCCCTTTACCTCAGTGTGGTTTGCAGGGGGCATCTTCCCTCTGAGGTTTTAGTGGTATATTCAATGAAATGCCTAGTCTCTAGTATACTTTTCCCAGGTTTAAAATAGAGTGATAAGGGCTAGGAATGTGGCTTAGTGGTACAGTGCTTGCCTAGCATGCATGAGGCCCTAGGTTCTATTATTCAGTACCAAATAAACAAATAATAAATAAGATAGAATAATAGTAATAAATCAGCACTGAAAGTCAACTGCTATAAATGATATGTGGGATCAGTTAGATCACGAACCACAGCCTAATTTTCAAAACATTTCCTGTTGGACTACCCACAACATTTTTTCGTGTGTATGTGTTGGTCCTGGGGCTTAAATACAGGGCCTCAGTGCTGTCTCTGAGCTTTTGTGCTCAAGGCTAGTTCCTTGAGCCATAGCTCCACGTCTGGCTTTTTGGTGATTAATTGGAGATGAAAGATTCACAAACTTTCCTGCCCAGGCTGGCTTTGAATCATGATCCTCAGATCTCAGCCTCCTGAGTAGCTAGGATTGCAGGTTTGAGTCACCAGTGTCTGGCCACCCACAACATTTTAACAGATGCCTTTTGGAAATCTTGGAAGCAAAATAGGTCCCCCATCAGCACATAAAATTAAATCCAAAGAAAGAAAAATATAGAGTGAAAGGATTGGGTGTTTTTTTTTCTTCTGACTCTAAGAGAAAGATTGGGGGAAATCTGAAAATCTTCAGAGAAATATTTATAGTCACAAAAGTGGGAGAAAAAAGCTTTTCTCATATACATACCCTAAGAAAGGTTGGATTCTGAAAGTGTTTTTTCAGCATTCACTGATGCAATATCTGTGGCTACTTTTGAGTATGATGTTTCTTATTCCTTATTATGAACACTGATTGTTAGTGTAACTTCTGCCTTTGGTAAGGCGGAGAAATTTCATGAGAAATTAGTGAAAGGACTAAAGGACCTGGTAGGGCCCGTGAGGACAAAAATAAAGAAATAGCATCAAAGAAGCATCCTTTGTTGGGGACAAAATGAACATGACTGGTCCTGCCTTATTGGAAAATGTTGCTATTTCAAATCTGAGGCCTCTCAAAATCAGTGGCAGGAAGGCCAGAATGGGAAACTGGGAAAGAAAGGAAAATTATTTTGATTTTTTTAACTTCTTTTTCTTGAAAATTTTATTATAAAAAAATCAATAGTACAGAAAAGAATTTTACAAGGACCAATCACATGGCTCAATTGAATCCCCAATACCACAATTTTTTTAAATCAGCAAAAGAATTACACAATGATATGTATATATACATATATGTGTGTATGTATGTATGTATGTATGTATATGTTCATCTCCATACCCATGAGGGAGGAATTTTTTTAAGTTTTAAATCTGACAGTTTGTTTCCAGTGAGACTGAGTTTGACTTAAATCAAAGAAATGTACTTGAATCAACAAATGGTTTCCTAACACTCTTCCTAAACATTTATTCTGGGAAAACCACAGTGGTTTACTGTCACTCTTGCATAAAATGATAATTCCCAAATCAGGGGTTTCTATAGGTCTGCTTCTATTATCTGCTGTTTCGAATGCTTTTCTTGGTGTTTAATTGGAGATAAGAGTCTCATGGACTTTCCTGCCTAAGCTAGAGTCAAACAGCAACCTTCAGAGCTCAGCCTTCTGAGAAGGTAGGATTACAGGTATGAGTCACTGGTGCCTGCCTGGAGGTAGGATAAAAACAAAAGCCACTTTTACCCTTTACTCCTGGAAAAAATTACTCAACAGGAGAGCTAAGTAATGTAAGAGATGTATGATGAACTACCAAATCCATATATTCATATTAATATCATTCAGATGTTTTCTGACCTGCAGTTCTCTGCTGTGTAGTTTTTTTTTAATTCTTTCATGAAACAGAAAGGTTTGGATTTCTTTGAAGTAAGTTCCCTTTCTGTGGTAGCTTTATTTTGCAGCCTCCTCTTTGCCTACTTTGGTGAACTTTCCCTTTAGTTTACATACTGTGCCTCTGATGGAAGCAAGAGTTGCTGGTGTTTTATGCTTCTTGTTTTTAGACATATTAACACTAAGACAGAGAGTCTCTTGCTTTCTTTTTTATGTTTTTATTGTGGAAAATACTGTACAAAGGGGTTACAATTACATGGGCAAGATAATGAGTACATTTGTTATCAAGCATTGTAGCCTCCTCCTTTGTTTCCACTTCCCATCCCATCCTCCCCCCCCCCACCCAATACTCCTCCCCCACACACACCCCAAAGTTGTAAAGTTCATTTTCGACCTAACAACTTGTATGTCTCATTGTTGCAATGGGTCTACCTGTATCCCTATTGAAACAATTTGTTTTTTCCCTTCTCCTCCCCAAATTATACCAACATCAAATAGGAAAGTAGTATGGAGGTTCCTCAAAAGACTCCACATAGAGCTCCCCTATGACCCAGCAATCCCACTTTTGGGCATTTACCCGAATGATCACAAACAAGGCCACACTAAAGCTACCAGCACAACTATGTTTATTGCAGCATTATTTACCATAGCTAAGATATGGGACCAACCCAGATGCCCCTCAATAGATGAATGGATCAAGAAAATGTGGTATATATAGACAATGGAATTCTATGCCTCCATCATAAAGAATGACATTGCCCCATTTGTTAGGAAATGGAAAGACATGGAAAAAATTATATTAAGTGAAGTAAGCCAGGCCCAAAGAAACATAGGTCCCATGGTTTCCTTATTTGCAATAACTAGTATATGTCTGAGTCAAGCAGAAAATGTCAGATAAGTTGATGTTAGGGAAATGAACCCTAAGATATGTATTCAAATGATTTTTCTTTCATGAGATTGTTTCTAACACATTTATAAGATTATTTCTTTGTTGCTTTGTATGTCCCTCCCCCACGGTCTCTTGCTTTGTGTAGTATCTACTTCCTCCTGAGATCCATGCCCCTTATTTTATTTCATTTCTCATCACTTATAAAATACACAAAGCTGATATCATTCCAGTGGACAAATATTTAATGAATCTGGAGGGAAATCTGCTAGTATCGTGGAAGAGGGGAATGAAAATTTTATGTCTGTTAATGTCTAGGAATTCACAATCTACTAAATTCAGAAAGATATATCCAAGGATAATTCATATTATATTAAAACCCTGTTATAGACTAAATGCTATAATAAATGTCTAACTGAATGCAAAATGGTATAGTTTAGAGTGTAAAGGAGTTTCTAGCCATGCATAGTAGTGCATGCTTATAATCCAAGCACTCAAGAGGCAGAAACAGGAGATTTGCAAGTTCAAGGCCAAGTAGGGCTACATAGTAAGACCTCTCAAGCAAATAAGCACACAAACAAAAACAGAGTTTCAGTGCTCTGCTCAGGAACTCACTTTTTAAAAATACAACTTGTAAATGAACTTTATTTTTTAATATATTTTATTATCTTTAAGTAGTTATACAAAGGAGTTACCATTTAAAAGCAGTTTATGATATAGTTTATGCATCTTAATCAGTGTCACTCCTTTTGACATTCTTCTCCATCCCTCCCAACCCACCCGTTCCCTCAGTTTTCTTAATTTTGTAGGATTATTATTCATCTCTTTATTCCTCTCTACCCTCTTCTCCTTGACCCCCCTCCTCCCCTTTCAACCTGTTTCCTGGCATTTTGTTGGACTGCGAATTAGCCTTTTTAAGGAATTACACCCTTTGCACTCTCCCCTGAATCTACCATATTTCAGTTAATACATTTGTATACACTTGCATACTACCCTGAAGTGTTTTCTTATTTTAGTAAATCTTGCAAAGGCAATACTGGGTACTAAATTATTCTCCAAATAGGACTGGGTACATAATTTGAAATGTCTAATACAAAATGAAAATCTGGGGTCTCCTCTGCAAAAAATTCAGAAGTTTAAGCACAGCGTTACACCACATATGAGAACTTGTGAGTGCAGCATCCTGCAGGACTGCACAGGAGACACTCCTAAGAAAGCAGATGGTCTGTGAATATAAGGGAGAACCCAATTGTACTGTCTGGAGAAGGAGATCATACATGGTAAATTTCCTCCCAAGTGGTTCCCAGAAAAAGAAAATAAAACGAAAGAAAATAATTTAATCATTTTCCAAATCAGCAAGAAGGGTTGGGATTAAAAGAATAGAAGTTGGGATTTTTTCAAAGACATCTTCACAGTAAAAAGTAAAGGTAATAATAATAATAGTTGCAGAAGCAGTCAATCCTAACCATATAGACTATATTAAGAGCCAGGATTCTTCTAAGTATATTACATATATTTAACTTATTTTGTCCTTAGAAACACACTGTGTGGGGGGGGGGGGTGTAAGTGCTATTATTTACTTTTCCCTACAGATGAAGGAACTGATTTAGAAACATTGACTAATTGTACTGGGTCATATGGAAAAATACACCAGCTAGCCAGTATTGGAACTCAGAAAGTCTGGGTCCAGAGTCTGTGCTCTTAACCACTGTTTATCTGCTTCTCAAAAAAAAAAAAAAATCCAAGATTCATTTAGAAGAGAAGGAATTATTCCAGTACTTTTACTAATTAATATTTAGATTTGGCCTAACTAAGTTATATTGTGTATTCTTTTTTAATTTCTTTCTTTTTTTTTTGCATTTTATGTTCCTAGTTTAACAGCACCCGTTCGCCCTCCCCCACTGAGTGTTGCCACATGGCCCCATGGAGTAGAAAGGTATTGGTTCTGAGAATATTCCTTTGTAAGCCCTGTCCTGCTCTGCTCAGACACTCTCCCTTTCTTCTCTCCTTTAACTTTATTGCAAACTCTCGTTTCCAACTAACAGGTGTTCTTTTAAATCCATTTTAAGGGTGGTATTTTCCTAACTTGAATTAGACAAAACACTATTTAGATGATCCTACCATTAGCAGTTTTCCCCACTTACTGCCCCCTTTTACCATTTATAGCTCTGTTCCCCATGGATATCCCCTATTGCTGCTCTTGGACCTTGTTTGGAGAAAAGAAATTCCAATTTTCCCTATATTTATCACAATTTAAAAAGCTCAGGATGGAGAGAGAAAGAGAGAGAAAAGGACAAAAGGATTCTGTGACAGACAGTTAGTTGTCCCTATTTCCCCTAAATAAAAAGTGCTTTTGGCTGCTAGTCAGAGCCTGGAAGTCAGGTCACTATCCCTCACTCCTTCCCCAGTCCATTGTTATTCAAGGAAGGAATCGCCTCTCAGAAATGAGGCCTCTGTAGTGGCCATTTCTCTGTAGTACTGCCTGCTCCAGTGTGTGTCACTGTGTGTGTGTGTGCCCCTATCTCTCTCTCTCTCTCTCTCTCTGACTGCATGCACACCAAACTTTTTTCTTTTAGAAGTTACCTAGGAAACAAATTCTTTTTGTGCTTGAACTTTATTTGAGCTATTCACTTTGCTGGGACTCTACACAAAAGCTGAAGAAAGAAGGTTGCAATATTTTACTAAAACATTCATGACGAGCACATTTTTTCCAAAGTGGGGGTCATGTGCTGCTGGGTCTTGTAGGGGGCTTTGCAGAAACATCTGATAAGGTAAGTAAATGCTGGAGGGTCTTTTAAACAATTGGCTCTGCTGCTTTTTCAAGGAGACTTGAGGACAGTTTATTTGACAATACATGAAATACTCCTAGTCAACAGGGAATGTTTCTAAATGCAAGGACTGAAGCTCTTTAAAAATGACCCTGAGTTTAGAGCAGAGTATTTTAAAACCTTACTGGCATAAGAGGAAACAATTTTTACCGATGTTCAGCTTCCTCCAAGTTGTATAAAGAAATAAAACTAGATTCAATGGTAAAAAGTGGGTCTTTTATTAGTCTGGTTTTCAAACGACCCAGATATCAAAACTGGGGTGGGGCTGATTTTTATTAATCTGGGCTAGGAGCCTATCTTGGAGTAAAAGTTAAACAATATTAATATTTATGAAGGTTTAGATGGAGAAATTTCAAATGTCATATAGAAATCAAAGCCTGTAAATGCACAGCTTGAAGGAGAGTTTTGTACTGTCAAGCCAAAAGAAAATAAACTAAATGCTGTTTTACCCTTTCAAATTTGAAAAGGCAACCCAGTTGACTCCTTCCAGAAACAACATTTGTATTATACTCTGTAGATGGGGATGGGGGGGACCCCTTTACTTTTGCCCTTCCAGGTGTATATAGTGTTGATTGAAGTAAATTTCTTAAATATGATTCACAAAAGCCATCCTCCTGCAGTGACATGAACTCCCATGTGTTTTAATGGCCTGTCAGACTAGGTTGACTTGTCTCTAGACTCCATTTTTTTCTGGCACATTTTAAAGCCTTTTTATAAGCATTTACATCATGTGCTTCCTTTGATTGTAGTTATGGACAGCTCTTGAGATGTGTGTGTGTGTGTGTGTGTGTGTGTATGTGTGTGTTTGTGTCTGTCTGTGTCTTTGTCTGTGTGGGTATATGTGCCCATATACACCAGTACTGAGGCTTGAGTTCAAGGCTTGGGTGCTATCTCTGAGCTTTTTTGCTCAAAGCTGGTGCTCTACTACTTGAGCCACAACTCCCCTACAGCTTTTTGCTGATTCATTGGAGGTAAGCGTGTCACAGATTATCCTGCCTAGGCTGGCTTAGAATCACAGTCCTCAGTTCTCAGCCTCCTGAGTAGTTGTGATTATAGCCATGAGCCCCCTGTGCCTGGCTTCTCGAGAGTTTTTTTTAAATAAGAATTTATGGTGAGAAAAAAAGCCAGGAAGTGGATCTAACTTTCACTGGATTGGAGATAGGCAGTTTTCTTCCGTTTGAAGTTCAAGAATTTCTGGCTACCTTGTCTTTCTCCATTCCATTTTACCTGACCAGCATGTTTAACTTGCCCAATTGTCTTTTTGTGTCACTTCAATGTTGAAATAATGGTTTCAAGTAGTTGTGCTTACTATTTCTAAGAATCCTTCCTTTTTCATTTTAAAAGCTTGTCACGTCATTTTCTCATATCTGATAACTATGAATTTTCTTATACGTGTGCTTACCTAAAAATTATGATGGCTCAATCTGAAAATACTTTGTTTACAGTCTCACCCTCCTGAGGATGAAAATGCAGATGTCATGTTAGGGCAGAGGCCAAAAAACCCAATACACAATGTCCCCTCGACACTGGACAAGCAGACCAACTGGAGCCAAGCGCTGCCTCTCCCAACGCCAGAGGAGAAGATGAAACAAGATGCCCAAGTGATTTCTTCTTGCATTATTCCCATCAATGTCACTGGTATCATTATTTCTTTCCTTATGGGTACTTGGGTCCAAATATTCTGTGTATTTCATATAGTAAAAACCTGTACTGTTGGGTCTGTCAGCTAAAACTCCCATTTTTCTAAATGGATAATATCTTTTTTCAAAATCAAAATACAACCCAGGAGACATTCAATATTCTTTTGTCAAGTTTTGAACATCAATTTGAACATATGCTGCTTGTTATGTAAATGATGGACAGTTTCTTTTTGAGGAAAAAAACACCAAATAGCTCTTTGCTCATAGCTTACTGAAATAATGGAGAAATTAATCTCATGGTAATGAATTTAGGCAACTGCAAGAAAGAATAGAGTACACCCCAGGTTTCTAAAACTTCCTGTAATGTCTTACTCACCAACTGGAAAGCATGCTTTCATGTTTCCCTGGATGAAGGTAAGCTGTTTTTTTTTAAAAAAGAAAAAAAAGATTCTTTAGACTTAGTGATTTCAGGAATTTTTGACCTTCAAAATATGAATACATAGAAGATAGATGAATTCTGCTTTAAAACCAACAAATCTATCTTTCTTTCACTTTTCTCCTTTTATGTATAGAGAAGTTGAGTATTAGTTTAGTCAGGAGCCTAGCTGGACTTTTCTTTAAAGTATATTTGCAGCAATTAGGAATTCCAAAATTGGCTCTGGTAACGTTAGCTGCAAGTTAAATCATATTTTTAAGGTATTCCAACTTTAAAGGTAGAAATTCAATGATCTATCCACTACAATTTCTTAAAATACCTCATCATATTTATGTATAGAAAACATCAAAACATGGAAATGGAAATGAGGGACTCAGAGAGAGCGAGGGAAAGGATGAAAGAACAGCAAAATAACCATGTTATGACTGATTTGAATCTTGGTGCCACATGACTAAAGATTACATGTCCCTTGAGATATTTGGACATAACTATTATTAACCCTACTCAGATTTCTCTTATATAGCTTGGGAAACAAATGGACCAGGTTTCTGAGACAGATACTAGTTCCTTTCTGCAAAAACATTCTTAGTTGATTGGCTCGCTGTGAGCTGGGACTACATTTTCCTGATGATCTATTCAATGTGTAGGATAAATTATTCTAAAGATATGTGCTTATCTGATCTCTGTAATCTAAATGGGATGTATTAGTGGAGTTCAGCTGCCATGACAGATCATTTTGGCACCCTCTTAAACTAATTTTCAGTTCTGGGAACATCTGGTTATTAGAAGCACCTGCTTCCTTCCTGGCACTGTAAGTAAAATCTTGTTTTTAAATTTAGTACTATGATTATGGACCATCGTCCTGTGATTAGGATAAAGGGAAGGGTTTTCTTTCTGCTTTATTTCAGGAACTCTCAGACTCAAGCCTAGATTAGATGTTGATTTCAAGAGCTCTAAAGATAACATTATTAATTATGTCTATATAACACATGATGTCTGTGTCTTGATACCCTTAAAATTAGAATGAAGGCTTTTAACATTCAGTTGGAACCAAGAAAGGAAAATCCCATTTGTATGAATTCTGTGGTAATAATGTAATTATTCATGATGTGAAACAGGCATTTCAAAGTGAATTCTAGAAACTGTTGGCACTGTGATGCCAAGTCAATCTCAACTTCTTCATTATACAGCTAAGATTTAACCTGCCATTGGTGGCCCTGTGCTTAAGAGTTAAGATAAATGATGAGGTGAGCCATTCCAAAGCACAACATTGTGGCTTCCTGAGGTGAAGCTCACTCTGAAAATTTCACAGTGAGGGGGTAGGCCAGACCAAAGTTGAGATCTTCATATCCCTCCTCATCGTTCTACTTTTGATAGAACGGTTGACAATAGGATTATTTAGAAATAAACTAATAAGCATCATGGTTGGGCCCCTATACATAACAAAATACAAAGTGGTTTAAAGCCTGGGGATTCTAGCTTTTACAGTTTGTACAGAAAGTAGATGCATTTCATTTCAGGAACTAGAGACTCCCTGGTATATTTATTTCCCATTGGCAGGACAGCTGGTACTAAACCAAAAAAGCATCCAATGAAGTCAGTCAGCAGAAGAAAGTAGAGTACAGCATAGTTTTTTTTTTAAAAAAAACTCCCCATGCTGTTGTTTCCTTGCAGCAGCGTGTGTGTTTGCGTGTACGTGAAGGGGGGGTGGTGGTGGAGAAGATTTTGGAATTGAAGGTAGAGGAGAAAAATTTCACAAAGAAGCTTTTAATGAAGAAGTGGGTCAGGGTATGTTAGCTGAACTAATTCAGGTTAACATCTTGGCTATGGATCTACTATGCAAAGGTATCAGTTTCACAGAGCCCAGAAATAGACCAGTAAATAGTAGTGACTAAAGGTTATAAATCCTGAAGGATCCATTACTCTTTGAGAGTGCTTTTTTATGGTTTTTCTCTCTTCTCTTTGTTTTGATTTTCGTCTCTTTTTTTTTTTTTGGTGACCTTTGACAGTGCAAGCTGTTGTAGAAAACTGCATTTAGAAGTAAAGCTTAATGTACTACAGCATCATTTAAATAAGAGCTGAATAAGGGCTCCCTTATATTTGGTCACAGGCTTCCCTTACTTCCAACCAATAAATGTCACTGTGTTCCAAGTAAGTGAAAATTTTGTTTTCCATTTCTAAAGGCTAATGAGTCCTATTTGTGGTTTGTAGGAGTTGGTTTTGACAGAGAGGCTGGTATACGCTGCTCTCTTGTTCATTCACAATCTGTCCTACAGCGAAGACGGAAATTGAGGAGAAGGAAAACCATCTCGGGTATCCCCAGAAGAGTTCAACAAGAAATAGGTGTGGTATTAAGAAAAAGCTCATGGTTTCTGTGTAGTGCATATCATCAGGAAGTTGAAATGAGTGACAGCTTTCGAATGGTTTCCTTAAAAAAATAATAAATATTTTTAACTGGTAGAGCTTTGGAAATAATGTGTGTTTCTTTTATATTCAGCAAACTAAGTGGATATTTTTTACAAACTTGAGTGAATTTTTATTTTTATTTTGCTTTCCTTTTTGCATTTGTAATATACAAGATTATGAGTATTTAAAATTGTATTTTTATCTTTAGTTAGTTGTACAAAGTATTTACCATTAACAAATCACATTATAAGTACAATGCAACTTGATCGATACCACCTTTGGAATTTTGTTTAACTTCTGATCTTAACTATAAAGGGTTAATATTAGAGACTCAGACATGGAAATTCCAGTCTTCTGGCTGAAATGAAATCTTTTGCCAATTTTATAAAGTTCTATTAAGGTAGAAACTTCATAAAAAGTAGAAAGATTCAATGCAAGTCTTTTTTGATGGGACTTGGAATTTCATTTAGGAAAGATACAATTGTATGGCATTATTTTAAAATGTACATTTTGAGCATACTAGAATACTGAAAATATGATGCCCTTGAGTGATATTTCCAATTTTTTTCTGTTCATCATATTGAGAACATCTCTATTTTGAAAACAGTATTACTATTATGGTAGCATCTCCTATAAATATTATTTTTATTTCTTGTAATGAACTCTATGATTTTTATTTCAACATGTTAATATTATAAACACAAAGGAAAAATAACAGCCAAGAGGATAAAGGATACTTTAGTACAGAAAAAGCAGTTTTGGGGGGAGTACAAATGAATGAGGATGAAGAGAGATAATTCAGAAAAGATATAAAGCAAACCAAGCATTAGTGGCCCACACCTATAATCAAACTACACCGGAGGCTTAGATCCTCAGATTGCAGTTTGAAACCAGCCCTGGCTGGAAAGTCTGTGAGATTATTATCTCTAGTCAATCATCAAAAAGCCAGAAACAACTGTGGCTCAAGTGAAAAAGCTTAAGGGAAAATCTAAGGAACAGTACCCAGACCTTGAGTTCTAGCCCCACTAATGGTACACACACACACACACACACACACACACATACACACAGAGAGAGAGAGAGAGAGAGAGAGAGAGAACATCTCTTTGTATGTATGTATGTATATATACATAGATAAATGTGTATATGCAAATATAGTTGCTAATATATAGAGAATGAAGCAGAGACAAAGCCAGAGATAGAAAGTATTCTAACTTTCTTCTAATGTTATCTATTCACTGCTATGTTTTTTCTTGTGCTTTTCCTGGGCCTTAAATTCAGGGCCTGGGCATTGTCCCTGAGTTTTTTTGCTCAAGGCTAACATTCTAACACTGGAGCTACAGCTCTGCTTCTGGCTTTTTGATGATTACTTGGAGATAAGCATCTTAAGGATTTTCCTGCTCAGGCTAGCTTCAAACCAGGATCCTCAGATCAGGAACCTCCTGAATAGCTAGGATTACAGGCATGAGCCACTGCTGCCTGGTTACTGTTTGTTTGTTTGTCTGAAGAGAGAGATCTCTAACATGCCAGCATTTAGACTGGTAGATATCTCTGAAAAAAAAACACGTTATTCTGCTGATACATAAGATATCTCATTGTTTTCCCTGTGCCCTAGATTCTGATGAGTCCCCAGTGGCCAGGGAAAGGAACGTGATTGTGCACACAAACCCAGACCCCTCCAATATTGTCAATCGGAGGTCCGGAACCAGGGATTCAGAATGCCAAACTGAAGATATTCTGATTGCTGCCCCATCCAGAAGAAGAATCAGAGCTCAAAGGGGTCAAAGCATTGCAGCTTCCCTTTCTCATTCAGCTGGCAACATTTCTGCCCTGGCAGACAAAGGTGACACCATGTTTACTCCTGTAGTGAGCAGCCGTACCCGTTCTCGGAGCCTTCCTCGAGAGGGTAATAGAGGTGGAGATGCTGAGCCCAAAGTTGGTGCTAAACCTTCAACCTATGAAGATGGAGAACCTTTTGTGGGAGACCATGAAAGAACCCCTAATGATTGTAGTGAGGCTCCAAGCAGCCCAAGTGCACAGGAACACCAGGCTGCATTGGGACTGGCCTGTTCTCAGCATATTCACAGCCCCCAGCACAAGCTAAGCGAGAGAGGAAGGTCACGTCTATCCCGAATGACTGCTGACTCTGGCAGCTGTGATATCTCCTCCAACTCAGACACCTTTGGGAGCCCCATCCACTGCATCTCCACTGCTGGCGTCCTCCTTGGCAGCCACATGGACCAGAAAGATGACCATCAGTCATCCAGTGGTAACTGGAGTGGCAGCAGCTCCACATGTCCCTCGCAGACCTCAGAAACAATTCCTCCTGCAGCTTCACCTCCCCTCACTGGCTCTTCACACTGTGACTCAGAGTTGTCTCTCAACACAGCTCCTCATGCTAATGAAGACACCAATGTCTTTGTGGCAGAGCAGTACAATGACCACTTGGAGAAAGTGAGAGGCCACCGGGCCAACTCCTTTACCTCCACTGTTGCTGATCTCCTGGATGACACCAACAACAGCAACACAAGTGACAGTGAGTGGAATTACCTACACCACCATCATGATGCATCCTGCCGCCAAGATTTTAGTCCTGAGCGTCCTAAGGCAGATAGTCTGGGCTGCGCGAGCTTCACAAGCATGGCCACTTATGACAGCTTTCTGGAAAAGTCTCCATCAGACAAAGCAGATACTAGCTCCCACTTCTCAGTCGACACGGAAGGATACTATACCTCCATGCACTTCGATTGTGGTCTGAAAGGTAATAAAGGCTATGTCTGTCACTATGCAGCCCTAGGCCCAGAGAATGGCCAAGCCGTTGGGGTTCCTCCTGGTCTTCCCGACTGCGGCTGGCAGGACTACTTAGATCACCGGAGGCAGGGGCGACCAAGTATCTCTTTCAGGAAACCAAAGGCAAAGCCAACCCCACCTAAACGTAGCTCATCGTTGAGGAAGTCTGAAGGCAACACAGATGTTTCTGAGAAGAAAGAACCAAAGATAAGCAGTGGTCAGCACCTGCCTCACAGTTCCAGGGAAATGAAGCTGCCTCTTGATTTCTCCAACACACCTTCTCGAGTGGAAAATGCCAGTGTTCCTACCAAACAGGAGCCTTGGATGAACCAGAGTGAACATGGTGTTAAGGAACCTCAGTTAGATACCACAGATATTCCATCATTCAAAGATGAAGGTGCTGAATCAACTCACTATGCAGACCTCTGGCTTTTAAATGACTTGAAAACAAACGATCCTTATAGATCTTTATCCAATTCAAGCACAGCTACAGGTACTACAGTTATCGAATGCATCAAATCTCCAGAGAGCTCTGAATCCCAAACATCACAATCAGAATCAAGGGCCACCACTCCATCTCTTCCTTCAGTTGACAATGAATTTAAATTGGCTTCACCAGAAAAGCTGGCTGGCTTGGCATCTCCATCAAGTGGTTACTCAAGCCAGTCTGAAACACCAACATCCTCTTTCCCAACCGCTTTCTTTTCAGGTCCATTGTCTCCTGGAGGTAGCAAAAGAAAACCTAAAGTTCCAGAAAGGAAATCCTCCCTACAGCAGCCTTCTTTAAAAGATGGAACTCTATCACTGAATAAAGATCTTGAACTTCCGATTATACCTCCTACCCATCTTGACCTAAGTGCTCTTCATAATGTCTTGAATAAACCATTCCATCACCGTCATCCATTGCACGTTTTTACTTATAAGCAGAACCCAGTAGGAGAAACGCTGAGGTCAAATCCTCCACCATCTCTTGCAATTACGCCAACAGTCTTGAAATCTGTTAACCTTAGGTCCATCGGCAAGTCTGAAGAAGTTAAGCAAAGAGAAGGCAACAATACAGATGTGCCCCACTTAGAGGACAGTGCTCTCACAATGGCTGCCCTGTCTCCAGGCAAGACTAGGTCACATACAACAAAGAAACCAATATCCCGTCAGTATTCTGCTGAAGATACCATACTGACCTTTGTAGACTCCACTGCAGTTGAGATGGGACCAGATAAACTCCATTTGGAAAAGAACCCTACTTTTGATGGGAAGAACCACTGCCATCCAGAAACTGTAACCTCAACTGGTAGCACAAAAGACCAACCACAGATGGGAAATGACCCTGTGCCAGAAAATGTATCAAGTAAAAGCTGTGGGGTTTCCACTGAAGGATTTCAGAGGGTATTTGCTGGCCGCCACAATGATTTGGATGGTAAAATAATACAGTGTGGATCTGGGTCAGATGGAGCCCTAGTGCAGGTACTGAAATCATCCTCTGTAGATCAAGAAGATGGTACCCAATCTGAATCTGTGGATGTAATCACATTTCAGTCCACTTCACCAATGAGAGCAACAGACATAAGCAATCAACGTAAGCATCAACTTGTTATGAGCCGCCACCATGACAAAGTGCCTGGGAATATCCGCTATGAATCAGAGACATCAACTGTAAACTCATTCCCTGAAAAATGTTCTGAGCAGGAAAATATTGCTTCAGGTGTTTCACCCCAAAGTGCCTGTGATAACAGCAGAGCAGAGGAGACCCAAGGAAACGTGGATGAGGCTTCATTGAAAGGTCAGTCATCTCTGCCTTTGTCATGATGGAAATATGTCTTCAGCCATTTCCTTTTGCTGTCTTGCATTCCATACAGCCCAGGGTGTTGGTTTCCTTCCACTATTTCTTTTTGCTTACTAAAATGATTGAGATAGAAGTTTTTGTAGCCAATAGATCTCTCTGTGTCATTTAAACAATGATGGTTTCTGTAACTCCTTTTTGAGTGTTGAGACTTTGAAGCACATTACTGGGCTGAGAAACTTCTCTTAAAGATATCTCTGTTCTTATTTGAAGAATCATCACCAAGTGATGACTCCATCATCTCACCCCTTAGTGAAGACTCGCAAGCTGAAGCAGAAGGCGTGTTTGTGTCTCCAAACAAACCTCGGACAACTGAGGATTTATTTGCTGTCATTCACAGGTGAGGAAGTATCATCAAGTTCCCCCTATCCTCCCAAAAAGAAAGGGTTTGCTTCTCATCAAATATAAACATGGGAAGAAATCCTTTCCTCCCTGTAATATAGCCAGCAAAACCACAGGCAAGCAAGGAAGAATGACATTTCCACGTCAAATGGGTAGGCTTAAATGCACGGTGGGGAAAAAAATGAACCTCAGGTACCTAGATGGAATTCTCAAAGGACAGAATTTGGAGATTTTCTTTACTATTTCACAACTTCACAAACCATTTTTGAAGTAAGCAGCTTACAACTCTCCTCCTTCCCGCCCCAGCTTCCTTGGCTTCTGTTTTTTTTTTTTTTCTCCTGTGGATCTTGTGGCTTGAATTCAGGGCCTGGGTGCTGTCCCTGAGCTATTTTGCTCAAGGTTAGCACTGTATCCCTTTGAGCTATAGCTCTACTTCTGGTTTTTGAGTGGTTAATTGGAGATAAAAGTCTCGTGAGGACTTTTCTGCCCAGCTTTTTCTGCTGGTTTTGAACCGGGATCCTCAGATCTCAGCCTCCTGAGTAGCTGGGATTATAGGCGTGAGCCACCAAGTGCCTATCTCAGCTTCTGCTTTTTTTCCAACAACTTTTATCTTCTGATTTTTTGATTCAGTATCCTCTTGAAAGAAGAACACTGCTCTTTAAAAACAGTGGGATTGTTTAGGGGTATTTTTGTTTTAGGGATTCAATTGAAAGTAATTTCTACATATACAGTAGCAGGCACACTTCTGTACTCGGTGGGTAAATAACTATTGGTTTATTTTTATTCACCTCAATGCCTAGTCTAAGCCTTAGACATATTCCCCTCACCTCCCATATTTTATAAGTTAAAGAGCCAAATACCCACAAAGAGCCATCTGCTATGTCTGGAATAGTGAATAAGGCATTAGTAGTAGACTTAAATTTGAATCCCAGGTCTGACTCTTTCTATGTAGCCTTGGGTAAGTTAAAACCTCTGAACCTATCTGTCCTCTTAATGTAAGTAGGAATATCTATAGCTCATATATTTGGTATTGATGATAAAGTTAATATTTTTATGTCTAGAATATGATATCTGCTAAAAGCTAATATTATTTGAAAAATCTACTCTATTGGCATGTCTAGACACTGGTGCATCCAAATCATAACCACAGAGTTTTTAATGAACCAAACTTAGGCTGCTTTATGATCACAAAATGATCACAAAATTCAGGTTTCTTTTTCATCCTATAGATTTTAAGTTGGTGAGAAATCATGTTGCTAGTTCATTTCAGGTTATCCATGAAATGAGTGCTACTGATGATTCATGGCATTTATTTCTGCTTAATTATCAAGACAAAATCAATAATATGATGAGTTTGGAGGTTCACTAGACTTGAGGAGTTTGATCCTCTTAGATTTGTATTTGCTTAGGTTTTGCTTATTTAAGTGATAAGTAATATTTTTCTTTCCTTTCCTTTTTTTAGTGCTTGTGTATATTTGAACTCGGGGCCTTGTTTTTGCCAGGCATGTGCTCTATCACTTGAGCCATGCCTCTAGCCCCTTTTGCTTTTATGAATTTTTGAATAGGGTTTCTTATTTTTGCCTGAGCTGGCCTGGTTATCGGTCTTTCCATTTACATTTCCCATATGGGTGTGATGACAGGAGCACACCACCATGCCTAGCCTTTTATTGGTTGAGATGGAGTCTCATAAACCATTTGCCCAGGCAGCCTTTCTAGTAGCTAGAATTACAGGATTGCCACCATATTCACCAGCTATTTTACTTTGTTGAGAACTTAGAGTGTACAAAGCTTTAAGGGATCCAGAGATGCTAAGTTTTCCATTCTTCACCAAGAGTTAGCTTACTGAATAATATGCTATTGATGTTACTAGGAAGCTAAGGGAAATGGGATTACAGCCAAGAATAGATCTGCTTACTGAAAAAGTCTTTTTATCTAACTTTCTATAAGCAGGAAATGTAAGAGTACACAGAATAGTCTTAATACATTCTCATATATCCATTCCTGCAACCTCATCATCAAAGCAGGGTCCATCCTGTCCCATCCACACCTCTACACACTTGTGCTATTATTTGGAGGCCAATTCTGGCCAGTAGAGCATTTCATCTCTAGTTTAAAGACAGATTTACTAACAAAAAAAACCAGCTGTCTCTGATCACATGGTAAGTTGAAGGTCAGTTAGACAGCAGTTTTTTTTTTTCTTAACCTGTTGCACAATCCCTCAGTAAGTCTTCTTCTGGAATGTCCAATGTCCACAGTAACCATTATCAAAAAATGCCATCTCTGGAACCTAGCCAATGTCCATTGGTTATCAGACAATTTCTCTAAGTCTGTGAGCACCATGAGGGGAAAGAATGTATCTTCCTCTTTATCTCTGTGGTCCTAAAGCTGAGAAACCTCTCCTACGGGATGCCTTTTTAAGTAGAGGCAGGAATAGGAATCCAATACTTTCTGTTTCATAAAGTGCCCTATGTGGACTCAAAATGTTACCCATTTTCTTTTTTTTTTCCTTCAAAGATCCAAGAGGAAAGTACTTGGAAGAAAAGATTCCGGTGACATGTCTGTTCGAAGCAAATCCAGAGCTCTCCTCAGCAGCAGCAGTGGTGGTGGTGGTGGCGGCGCCAGCAGCAGCAGCACCAGCAGCACCAGTTCTGTCACCTCCTCCAGCAGCAGCGTGACAACTGCAAACAGCCAGAGATCTCCTGGTCTCATCTACCGAAATGCCAAAAAATCCAACACATCCAACGAAGAGTTTAAGCTGCTCCTCCTCAAGAAAGGCAGTCGCTCTGATTCCAGTTACCGCATGTCCGCCACAGAGATCCTCAAGAGTCCCATCCTGCCGAAACCTCCTGGAGAGCTTCCAGGGGAGGCCCCACAAAGTTCTGATGATGCCCATCAGGGATCCCCTGGGGCCGAGGCATTGTCCCCTCTCTCTCCCTGCTCCCCACGGGTCAGTGTAGAAGGGTTCTCCTCAAAGAACTTTGCCAGCTCAGCATCAGCCAGGGTGGGACGATCCAGAGCACCTCCTGTGGCCAGCAGCAGCCGGTATAGTGTACGCTGCAGGCTGTACAACACACCCATGCAGGCCATCTCTGAGGGAGAGACAGAAAACTCTGATGGGAGCCCACACGATGACCGCTCCTCGCAGAGCTCCACATAGGCTTCCGTGCCAGGCTCCCTCCCAATGCCCAAACCCTTAGTAATGACAGACCCTAGGGATACCACAGAGATCTCGAGAGAATTCCCAATAGGATGGGGGTACCATAACTGCTAAGTAATGAATTTTTAAATACCTGCTGGGGAGATGGGATGTTGATGGAGTCATTCTGGATTGGTTTCCATGTTTTAAGTAGCTGCACTGTTTTTCATGGTTTTCTTTAGCTTAGTTTGATTTATCTGATTTCATTCCCTGTGATAATAGGAAATACAAAAGAGATAAAAGTATCTACTTTTCATGAAACCTATACAAGGTTTTCCCAGAGCTGCCTATTCAGAAAATAAAGCCCTCACTGTCATGATTCTTTAAGAAGATGAAATTACTCCGGAGGTTTGGTATTTTTTTACATTAAAATGAACTAAAGCAAAATTTAGAAGAAAGAACTACACATATGTAAATACCATATTTTTGATAAAAGTGTGTAAATAGATTTATCAACAATGAGTGGACATGTGGCCAATTATCTACCGCACACCAACTGTTTATAGAACACACAAGAATAAAGTATAATAACTGTATTCTGTGAATACCATTTTCATATTAAATACCATATTTAAATGTCCACCAGTATGATTTCAAAGTGATGAACCTCAAATATGAATTAAAAACTGGCATATTAAAAAAATCTTGAGGTCATATACTGAAATGTGGTTAATCTGAAGTAATGAACTCAGACCTAGTCATTTATGTAAACAAGCTAATAGAAACTCGTGGCTTTGATTTGCCATGTGGAAATCTGGACAGAATGAAAAGCATGCTTTTGATTGACACCTTTTATCAATGAAAGAAATCATCATTCTCAACACAAAGCCCTGAAAAACAGCATTTGACAGTGTCTTTTAGGTTTTAATTTTTTTAATGGATTGCTTTAAAGAGAATGAGTAGGAAAACCAGTAGTTCATTTTAGGTTATGATGAAACATATTAGGCTACTGGGGTCATAATCTAATGACTAGAATCTTTTGAAGTCCTTAAATGGTTTAGCAATTAGCTCCAGGTTCTTAAACTAACGAAGAGAAAACCTAAGCATGTTACAGAGCTATTAAAACCTGCAATGAGTTTTCAGCAAAGCTTTCTCTCTGTACTGATGAAATTCATGCTACCTAAAAAAGTGAACAGAAATGACACTGTGAACAACGTAGTTGGGAGATAGGTATGTGTATATGCATTATTTATATTCACTATTAAACTGGGAATGGGGCGCAGTTCTGGTTCACAATGCTACATACAACTGAGTTTTTGTCTGGCTTTACTCTATCTGCTTGATGGCAAAGGGGAGGGTGGTGGGTGGGGAAGGAAATGTCAGGGCAAAGGCTCTGATAACATGAAGGCAGGGAAATAAGCTGAATTACTTGAAATTACTTGAATTTTCTTGTCTTAAAACTGAAAAAAAAGGTAGTTACAAGTTGAAATCTACAAGTGGTTTTTGCACTTCTGATTTTAACGTGAACTGTTACTAGTGTTTGGAATCTTATGTCAGAAATATAAGCAGCTATGTACTTAGATTTTTGAATGGGAGAGGTACAATGTAGAGAGATTTCAGAAGGGATATGATCTTTTTAAAAGACTAGAATGTGATTACAATGATAGAACACACCAGGGTTACCAAAAAATTGATAAGCAGCTGGCTTTATGCCTATGCAAGTGGTATTTGGGAAGGTAGGAGGTATGAAAGGTTGTTTTTAGATTGTGATTCATTCATACAAAAAATGAATGAGAAAGCCTGGTCTAAGAAGATATTGTCTTTCAATAGAGATGTGTTTTAAGAGTTACAGATTAAGAATTAGAGATTCTGATTGCTGTTGGTGTTTTGTTTGTTTGGAAAGAAAATAAAAATTTCTGGCTTTTAATATTTGTTTTTAGTACCAAATTGTGTCACTTAATTTCTTGTCATACTTGTATGTAAAATGGGTGCTGGGGGTGGAGGGGTAGAGGAAGAGAGAGAGAGAGAGAGAGAGAGAGAGAGAGAGAGAGCACGCAAGTGAGCGAGAGAGAACTTCATGTGTACTGGGGATAGATAAGCTACCTGGTAAAGGGTTTGAACATTTATGAAGTGTTATACTTTTTATTATTAAAAATGTGTTGGGGTTTGAAAACAAATGGACCATTCATTTCTCATTGGAACACATGAATTAAGAAAACCAGCATGGGAACATGAACAAATCTGTTTCATGCTTTGAAAAGAAAACTTGACAAAATTTTAGAAATAAAAGATTTTAGGTAAATGTGATAAGAAACCATTCTTTTCAGTCACAATAGGTGATTGCAATTTTCATAAAAGCAGTTCGTTTGCAGTATGGCTTTTGCATAGCTAGGGGTTTTTTAAGTGTGAAGAAAGGTATGTGGGCTTTAAAAACATTACTCTAAATCTTGAATAGAAAACCCATGAATTGGCTTTAATAAAAATGTCACCTCTTTATTATTGACATTGATTTAAGTAATGGTACCATATATATATTTTAAAATACATATTGACTTGAATTATGAGGCAATAAGATACCTTCTATATGTAATGATCACAGAACTAACCCTTATAATATAGTTTTACTTATTTTGTTTACTCAAAAAATCTATAGCAGAGTTTCTCTATTTTATATTTCATATATTTAAAAAACCCAAATAAAGATGGATTATAAATTCACTGTGGAAAAAATAAAGAGTATTGAGTAACAAACTGAGTAAAAAAGCAAGCAAGCAATTCCTTAGTAATCTGGAACATTCTACGTGGCTTTATTACATAACAAACAAAAGCAAAGTTTAGGGCTGTCTTAACATCACTGCCAGCTTGACGCAGGTACACACATTAGGTATTACAAAGAACATCATTCCAAACTTTTCTTCTGTTGTTTGCACTGATGCTATTTTTTTTCTTTATGTTTATACAACATGTCTATGTCACATGGGGCAAATTTTCTCTTTTTAAAAAAAATCTGCTTTGATTTTTATTTTTGGTTGTTTTGCTTTGTTTTTGGCTAAGCAGAGGACATGGGCTAGTTGTACCAATAAAATATGTGATTTGCTCTTTGCCAAAGGTCAGGAAGTATAGTTGCCACAGCGGTGGCATTTTGAGAATGAGGTCCTAACGAAAAGATCTAAAATGCTGAAGAAGGTACTAGAACCAGTTCATGCTGGCCCCAAAGACAATGGTTTATGGACTTGCATCCATTTTGTATTTTTGTAATATTTGTAAATATGAACTTTTTTAATTGTTGCCAAGATGGTTTCTTTTGTAAGATGTTTTCAACGTTTACATTCAATCCAAGCCTTTGTATATTTTAGAGCTGTGCAACACTTTAAGTCTTGTATTTATTTTTAGTAAAAACGGTGACAGTTTCATTGTGAACCCCTCTCAAAAAATGTACCAGAAAAGTTTGATTACCTAGAAAGTGTGTATAGAAACTGCAAATAAACGTGACTGCAATTAAACAACTGGTTTTATTCTCTTCATTGTTATGTAATTTTTTTCACAAACAAAATGTTTTATGGGCAAGTGAACATCAATGAACACCTAAGGCAAAAGGATGGGAAAAAATGTGATATCCATAACGGACATTAATCTAGTTTCATTTTGAGAAGGAAAGCTGTTCTTTGAACACCCAGGCTACTAATAGCTCCTTTACATACCAGGGAAAAAGTTATGACTGTACTTTTTTTTGGGGGGGTGGTAAAGAGAATGAGAGTTCAACAAAGGTTTATTACTATTGTAGTAAGTGTGAGGCAATAGACATATAGCCAAATACATAAATCTTTAAAAATTTAAAAACAAGTTCCTTGTAAAAATTATGTTTCAAAATATGTCCATTTTATGGAAAGAAAAACTGAGTACCAGACAATACTTGGCTTGCCCAAACCATAGATAGGGTAACTACAAATTGGCACTGGGGTACAAACCCAGCAAACATGGCTCCAGGATTTCTGCTGGTTCTCCAGCCTGTGCTTCTGCTTGGGAGACTATAAATAGCTTTCATCATGTGCTTATGGAAGCAAGCACAGAACCATTGCTAAGGCCAGCTTCTTTCCCCATTCAAATTTAAGCACTGACTAATACTCCTGGAAGCCAGTTAAGGTGGACATCTCTGGTGAATGGTTTCAGAGGAAAGGGTAAATGTTACTAGAGAGTCAGCACATTAAATGGCTAAATAAGCTAAATAAATAAATAGCTAAATAAGCTTAGTCCTTGTGTCCAGCTGGATGAATTCAAGTAAGCCTCAAAACTTAGTGAAAGGGATAAAGTCTATAAGGAAAGGAATATGTCAGACCCAGCCACTCAGCCATTATGCAAAGCGACCCAATGGCCACTTGCTAGTGGCTGATGTCCCTAATTCTAATCCTAAACTAGCTGAGACTATCTGGAGGATCTCAGTTCATAGTCACCAGAGGCAGAAAAGTCTACAAGATTCCAGCTCAAAAATCACCAGCAAAAGGCAGGATTAGAGGCATGACTCAAGGGGTGGCAGTACCTGCCTAGCAAGCTTGAGGTCCTGAGTTCAAACTGTAGTATTAGCAAAGAAAGAAAAAGACATGATGAAGGGCAGAGATGTTTTATTATGTGGTATAATAAAATATGTGGCACAGGAAAGTGGCACTGCAGTTTATCTTCAGTCATTTAAAGGGTACAAAGGTATAATGGAAGAATTCAGGGCAGGAGCCAAAGAACATGCCTAAAGAGTTCAATTTATGCTGGGGGCTGAGGGCTTATGTCTATAATCCTTGCTAGTCAGGAGGCTGAGATCTGAGAATCATGGTTCAAAGCCAGCCAGGGCATACAAATCCAAGAGACTTAAATTTCCAAGCATTGAGCCAAAAGCCAGAAGTGAAGGTGAGGCTCAAGTGGTACAGCACCAACTATTAGCAGAAAAAAAGCTGAGCAAGCTTCATTACCAACATCAAAAAAAAAAAAAAAAAAAAAAGCCCAGTTGTAGGTGTGGCCTGGTGGGTCATTATCTTGGTTCTGGTTCTCTCCAGGTTCTGGGTAAGTTTCTACCACAGTCATTTCTTCAGGGGAGCAATCTGGTTTCCATGAGGTGATTCCTCCTGCTCCTGGATGGAGCCTCATCATAATAGGTAATGGCCCTCATTTGGGGGGTGATCTGTCCTACAAGGCTTTGTTCCTTAGGGGCTTTTAAGACCTTTAACGTAATATGCACAGTGACAACGGAGACAATGGCTTAAAGCAAAGATTAAATACAAATTGTAGACAGCACTGCTGAAGTTTTCTCCTGCTTTTAGTTAATTTGTGGATCCAAGTAAGAAGCTAGTGCTTTTCAGCAAAAAGAAAGTAGAGAGAAGGAGGAGGGGAGACAGAGAGAAGGAGAGGGAGAAGGAAAGAGATGGGGTGAGAGGGAGAGGGAGGGAGGAGAGCGATAGAAATGTGAGATAGGGTGAGAATGGCAGCATTCATCTTTGAGATTGTCTGGGCTCTTGCCTGTCAGAATTTCTTATCCCTACATCCAGCCTACAAGTTTTTTTGTTGGGCCTGGGCACTGTTCCTCTGCCTCTTCAGCTCAAGGCCAGCACTCTACCACTTGAGCCACTTCTGGTTTTCTGGTGGTTTATTGGAGATAAGAGTCTCACAGATTTTCCTGCCTTGGCTGGCTTTGAATCATGATCCTCAGATCTCAGCCTCCTGAGTAGCTAGGATGACAGGTGTGAGCCACCAGCACCTGGCCAGAAATTTTCATTATTGTACGGTGTTTTCTGTCAGGGATTTCAGTCACTGCTTTTCTGCTAATATTTTTCCCTTTAAAAGCTGGAATCCCTCCAGGGAATGGAAATAAGGAGGGTTTTTTGTTGTTCTTTTTTTTTGTGTTGTCTGTTGCATTATCTGTCTTTGGGAGTGTAGGGGTGGCAGAGAAATACAGGGGTGAACAAAGGAACACACAGCAGTTGTACTCAGTAGTATTTATGTTGAAAATGTTACAAGTTGTCGGTGGGAACAAGAGGAAAAAACTGGGAGAGAGAGAAGAGAGGGGTGACATTGTTCAAAGAGAAGTATACTGTCTCTGACTTATGAAACTGTGCCCCCTCTCTCTATTTATCACCTTTATAACCATTAAAACAGTTTAAAAGGAGAATAATTAAAAGCAAGTAGAGATGGTTTCCTCCAAAAACTAATAACAGTAAAAGTGGTGATCATTAGCTGCAAAAACAAAAACTAAGGCCAAAAAACACCTGGAATCCTTGCTACGTGACAGTAGCTCCAACAACAGGTACTCAGAAAGCTGAGATCTCAGGATCCGCGGTTCAAAGCCAGTCCAGCCAGGAAAGTCTATGAGATTATCTCCAATTAACTAGCAAAATGCCAAAAGTGGAGGTGTGGCTCAAGTGGTGGAGTACTAGCCTTGCCCACAAAAGCTAAGGGACTTTGCCTGGGCCTTAATTCAAGCCCAGGGCTAGGACAAAACTCCTTAAAGACTTTTGCCTTGTCCATTTTCTCTGCCTAAGGTCTTTGCTCTCTATCACCCTATAGGTGGGATTACACACATGCAGCGTGACTCAGCAAAAAGGCAGAGCACACGTGACCAAAGCGGTTGAGACATGCGGGAGAGGGGGACGACACCAGAGCAATGGTCACTCCATGTTTGAAATTCCCCTCCCCCTCAGGTCTGGACATGTACCAGAGGAGGCACTGAAGCTCCGCCTCCTGCTGTCTCCCGAGCAACCCTTCCTCTAAGGTTCCTAGCCAACAGGTTGAGCTAACAATCCTGCCCGAATGTTTCTAGATGACCGCTGATTGGTCAGTGAAACTGCCCCGCCTCCGTTTGTGCACGTGGATACGTGAATATTTGCCCGCGCTCAACGGGTTCGCCACACGCTGCTCGCCGACTCGACAGCAGCCACTTGCCAGCTGCCAGCTGCCCGCTGCTCGCCGCTCGCCACTGGCCGCCGCTCGCCGGCCGCCCATCGCCAGCTGCCCGCCGCCCGCCGCCCGCCGCTCGCCATTCGACAGGCGCCTGTCGCCCACCGCCGGCCCCTCGCGGTAAGCAGTAATGATCGAAAAGGTGGAAAGCTGGGGCTTGGGTCAACACCCGGTCTCCGGACGCCTTCGGAGGCTAGGTAGCAAGTTCGGGTCCGGGGCCGATCATGATGGGTCTCTCTATCCAGTGAGACTTTATTCTCATAAACTTTTCTTGTCTCGGGGGTTGCGGGATGCGGAGTGGGAGGAGGGGAGTCTACACCTTGTCATTTCAACTTTTCCACGCGCTCGGGGGGAGGCGAGTTGGGTGGTTCCCAGGGACAGTTTGGCCCCTGATTAACTACTTGGTGCTAACTTTCTGGGTCGCATGGAACCTATTTTTTTCTCTTTTCTCTTCCCGCGTGGAGGCGAGTTGGAGGGGGTGTTGAAAGTGGGGCGGGAAGTGGCCCGGGAGGAGGGTGGGAGTTGCTGAGGTTGGTGGTGCCTGTGGCGACGCCGGTGGCGGCATGGGAAGTGGGGGGAGGCGGGGAGAGGCGGGGGGGGGGGGGGGGGAGACACGAGGGAGGCGTGGTCGGCCTCTGATGTGCGCAAGGAAGGAAGGAAGGGAAGAACTGACTCGTGCGCAGTTCAGATTTGATCAACTCGCGATCTGATTCCAGTACCATCTTTTGAGGTTCTGACGGAGATTTGGAGGTAACCGCGTTGGGTCCAAGACAACCTCTCCATTTCCTCCCTTTCGTTGTAATCGGATTATTGAAATCTATCCGCACGTGGAGCGGGTGCTCCCTCAAGATTCTGCTTTGCTTCGACCGGGCGGCTGCTTGAGAAAGTAAAAACGACCAAATGTAGGGATCCATGGAAAGCGGGGAGCCTTGACTGCGTGCTCGGGGTCTAGCCCGCCAGCTGTTTGGGTATTTACTAGAAAAACCTCTATCTTCACTGTGTTGGAAATGGTTTCTCTTCTCTCATCTGGCTTTATTCGGGCTTGGGGCACTTTTATGGTTTTGTAACAGGTATCGCGGAGGTCCGCTTGTGGCTGTAGTCATTTTTTTAACTTGCTTGCTAAGGTCCAGGGGTGAAATGCCATTTTCAGCTCTCAACCTTGTGATCCCTGTCTTGTTGAAGTGAACGATTGCCTTGCTGGAGTATGGAATCGTCAAGGGTTTAAGAAACAAACAAAATAACACCCAAGAGTTTAGATTTAGTTTAAATTTTTACTACAATATCCAAGTAAGCTTCATTTTAAGTAAATCTGGTTTCGCAGGATTTTGAGCTTAAAGAATTTGTTTGCATTATCTAGTCGTTTGAGCTCTCTTAATACAGTAGAAGCTGTAATCATTACTTGTGGGAAACAGTGGAACAGAATGAAAATGTATGGTAGGATTGACTATCATTGGAAGACTAAATTTTGTACATTACAAAATTGGGCAACACACTTCACAGTGGTGCAGTTTATCAAGCAATAATTGTATTTATCTGTGAAAAAATTGGGACACAGAGATGTGTAAAAATCCATCAAAAGTGAAATGCCAAATATTGTAATTTGAATTTCTTTTCAAGTGTTTCTGACGAAAACCTAATTTTTTGTCTGTTTGCAACATACCCTAGTAGAAAAAAAGAATTTTTATATCTGTAATGTACAATATGATTTCAGATTGAATGTCATGAGAGTGAAAATATATTCTTAAGTATTCCATGATGTTTTATTGGAAACAGTTTTATGTAAGTAGATAAACTAGATAATAGTAAAAAGACAATAGTTGATAATAGTCAAGTAAGACAATAGTTATTACACACATTTATTTGTTTAATTCCTGTATCTCCATGAAACTTCACAATTATTATCATTATTTTATAGTCTTGAAGTAGGAAATGGAGAATTTAAGTACTCTAAGTTGTCCATAAGTTATTTATACTTACATAGCTAGTAAGTGAGGAGGTTGTAGCTAAACTATTTTACTCTAGTCACAAGCCTAAAGTATTAACCCTCTTTGATGCTGTTCTTATGTAAGGAGACATGTGTGACGTTGCCTTACTGTTAAAATGTGAGTGTTATCATTGGAGAAAGCAGTGTTGTAACCAGATGGGGTAGTTTTTTATATAGCAGCTTTCCTTTTCAGAGATAGAACTTGAGTTAAGATTTTAGTGGTAAGAAATATGTTGTATCAATAAATCAAAGAAAAAATCATTTGATCATCTCATTATAAAGTGTTACTTGGTACGTTATTTGTTCAACTGTAAAATCTACATGCAGGATTAGCAGGGTACTTAGTGTGCTATGGAAAATATAGCTAACAATGCTCCTTATTGGGGAAGAAGTAATGGAGAATTTTCATATGTGTAATTATTTGATCTATTGTTTCTGCTTCTAGAAATGTATACCCCAAAACTACTTGCATCAGTGAAAGACTGTTCTAGAGTGTTCTTTATAAAAACAAAACTTTAGAAAGTAACTTGAATGCCCATGAATTGTTAACTGGTGAAATAACTCAAAGCCTGTTTACAAAATAGGACACTAAAAACTCATAAAACTATAAAGGCAGTGGTTTGGAAAGACTCCTCCTAATCTGTAAATTTTGCTTGTTTTTCAGCTTTGTGCAAGTCAAATTATACATTGTATTCTCTTTTTGTTGTTTGCCTTCTTTTATTCAAGGTCAGGGTTGTGAGATTCTCTTTCTTCCAGCAGCAGTAGATGGTTTACTCTCTGTTATTAATGTTTTATCTTTATCAAAAAACACCCAATCGTAGCTACTCTGGAGGCTGAGATCTGAGGATTACAATGAGACCCAGACTAGGCAGGAAAGTCGATGAGACTCTTATCTCCAGCTAACAAGCCAGAAGTAGATCAGTGGCTCAAGTGATAACCTTGAGCAAAAAAAAAGAAAAAAGAAATAAGAGTCAACACACGGGCCCTGAGTTAAAGCCACAGTACTGGAGCGTGCGCGCGCACACGCGCGCGCGCGCACACGCACGCACACACACACACACACACACACACACACACACACACACACCAATCAAGACTGTGATTTGAGATGGTATTCTTACTTATTTAGGGAGTATGTGGAATAACTTTTTGTGCATTCGTTTTCAGGAGTCTTAGGTCACTTAAACAGTTTGCTCCACTCAGGAAGTAGAATCTATCCTGTGTGCAAGACAAGATGTCTTCCATCAACAATGAAACCAATATGGTTTGTATTTTAACTTAAAAATCTCTGTTCTTTTCTGTGTTGTGTGTATTAACTTTTTAAAATCTCTTTACTCTTTTTAAAATTAATATAAATTGTACAAAGTGGGTTCATTTTAATAATTTCATACATATAAAATACTTCCATAAAACTTACCTTCTCTTATTCTTTCTTGTTTCATAAATCTTTTCTCATAAATGCTTAGGAAGCACTCAGATTATATTCACACAATCTCACTCCCTCCTTTCCCTCCCCTCTCCCCGGATTCACACTCATGTCATTCATTTTTTTCAGGGATAGATTCCGCATATGACAATTGACACATGATAATTAGCCTTTTTAGTCTAGCTTATTTGAAAAAATATTTTTATAAGTAGTTATCTATAGCTCAATTCCATATTATTTTGAAATAAAAACATTATATGGCTACCAAGTGTGCTTATTTTAAAAGTAGTTCAAGGCCAGTGCACTAATACTTGGACCACACCTCTACTTCAAGCTTTTGCTGGTTAATTGGAGATGAGAGTCTCAGATTTGTCAGCAGACTGACTTCAAACCTAAATCCTCAAATCGCAAGTTCCTGAATAACTAAGATTACTATCACCAGTTTTAAGATTAATTGGTCAGAAAATTTAAGTGCTTAAACGTTTCCTATTTTGTCCACAGAGTGGCACTGTTGGATTATTTTAAAAAATCCAGTCATGTAACATTGCTTTGGTCACCTAACAATTTGCTTTAAAGACAGCTTTAAGCCAGTTGCCAGGGCCTTACCCTGTAATCTTAGCTACTTAGGAGGATTGCAGGAACTAAACTACCCAAAAAAGCCAGAAGTAGAGCTGTGGCTCAAGTGGTAGAATATGAGCCTTGATCAAAAAGAAGCTCAGAGCCTGCACTCAGGCCCTGAGATCTAACCCCAGGACAGGTACTATGAGAGAGAGAGACAGAGACAGAGAGAGGAGAGAGAGAAAAACAAGGCCTTGGTTTTAATCCCTAGCGCCACAAAACAGAATAGCAACAGTAAAAACTAGACAAATAAGCCTTTAAAAAGTAAAATGGAACTCAAATTTTTGTTCAATTCTTCTCAACTTTTCTAGTTCCTTCACTTTAATTTTTAATAAATCTTTCTCAGGTAATAACCCCAATATCTACATAACAATGATGATACTAATACTGCTTTTTTATACATTTCAATAAATACTACGTATATCACTGTTGTAATTTTAGTTGATAGCTGCCTAGTATATTAAAACGTTACCATTTTAAAGGCAAAGGAGGTATAAATTGTGAATATACTATAGAATTCCTTGATAAAGCCATACTTAAGGAAATATTTTTTTATCCTAATATGAGCTCCTAATCATTCCCCCATCCCACCCCATTTCTTCCATAGCAGGACACATTTTTACTGGAAATGTAAATCTAGATTCTGCTGAAAATATATTCTTTCTTTCCTTAATTGGCAATCATTATTTCCGTACCCAAATTATGGTGATTTTAAAAAATTTTATCTCTTGTTTTAGGTTAAGAATTTGAGAAGGTTGATATAAAAAATGTAAACAAAGTGGTGTCTCTTCTGTGGTGTAAAGTGTGGCTCTTACTGAGTAAAACATTAACAACTATTTCAAAAAACTTTTAAACAGAGTGTTGTTCCGGTCACCATATTCACTAGAGGAGATGAAGAGGCCTCTATGATGGATGTTCTTACCCATTGTGAGGTAGGAAAGTTCTCTCCCCCTCCTCCTCCTTGTGTGTCTCCTTTCTTCTCCTCCCTTCCCCTCCCCTTTCCTCTCCTTTTTCTTCTCCTTTTTCCTTTCCTTTATCCCTGTCCTCTCCTCTGTCCTCTCCTTTTTATATACTTTGCTCTTCCCTTTCTATACTCTTTCTATCCTGGAGCTTGAACTCAGGGCCTGGGTGCTGTCCCTGAGCTTTTTGCTCAAAGCTAGCACTACTGCTTGAGCCATAGCTCATTTCTGGCACTGTGTGTGTGTGTGTGTGTGTGTGTGTGTGTGTGTATGCATGTGTGCATGTGCGTGCGTGCATGTGTGTGTGTGTGTGTGTGTGTGTGTGTGTATGTGTGTGTGTGAGAGAGAGACAGAGAGAGAAAGAGAGAGAGAGAGAGAAAGAGAAAAGAGAAAGAATGCGAGAGTGCGTGCACACATACACGAGGGCCTAGATACAGTCCCTGAGCTGCTTTTGCTAAAGGCTAGTGGTCTGGTGTTTGCTTCAGCAGCACATATACTAAAATTGGGATGATACAGAGAAGATTAGCATGACCCCTGTGCAAGGATGATACATAAATTCGTGTAGCATTCCACATTTTTACAAAGGAGAAGGCTACAATGCTTGATAAGAAATGTACTCATGATCTTGTCCATGTAATTGTAACCCCCTCTGTACAGTATTTTCACAAGAAAAATTTTTTTTAAAAGGCTAGTGGTCTGTATCTTGAGCTACAGTCCACTTCCTGTTTTTTGGTATTTTATTGGAGAGAAGAGTCTCACAGTCTTTCCTGCCTGACTGGCTTCAAACCACATGATCCTCAGAACTCAGTTTCCTGAGGTAGCTTAGATTACAGGCGTGAAACACTGGTGTCTAGTCTAGGATGTGTTTCTTAAAGTACCCAAATAAAAATTCTCTCCATCAAATGGTGCAATATCTGATTATTTTGTGATCTTCACTCTATTATGCTGATTTTTAAAACAATTTATAGTTAGAATAGCATTTATAAAATGGTATATGGGAAAATTTTTATATGTGAAATTTTTGAAATAGCAGTATGTATGGATAGAGTTTTTAAATATGCATGCTGATCAAATGTAGTTATGTTTCTTTAGACTAGATTGTGCAATAGTGAATTAATTTGCCATATAAAATCCTTAAAGGAAATTAACCTATTTGGAGGCAACTTAGTATGTGCCTTAAATGCTATCAAGATTCTCATTTTTTAAAAAATAGCAGCCAACCAGTATCTTTTAGAAGAGGATATCTTACATAGTTTTGAGGGATTTTTTTTTATAAAAGTTGTGTGGCTTGAACTAAGGGCCTAGGTGCTGTCCCTAATCCTGTTTGTACTCAGGGCTAGTGCTCTACCATTTTGAGCCACAGCTCCACTTCCAGTTTTTCAGTGACTGATTGGAGAAAAGAGTCTCATGGAGACTTTTTTGCCCATCTGTCTTCAAACTGCAGTCCTCAGATCTCAGTCTCTTGAGTAGTTAGGATTATACCCATGAGCCCCTGGCACCTGGCATGAAGGATATTTTATTTTATTTTATATTTTAATTTTGTAAATCTTATTATAAAGGTGATACACAGAGGGATTACAGTTACATAAGTAAGATAATGAGTATATCTCTTTTTGAACAGTGCTACCAACTCCCTTGTTTTCTCCCGCTTTCCCTCCACCCCACTCCCTTCTCCCCCAAGTTGTAAAGTTCATTTCCAAATAAATTGATTTGTTGGTAGAGATTGATAGAAATATGTAATTATCATGGATTTTGTGATCTGCCTCTCCATGGGTAAATAAAAGTTTATTTTACAAAAAGTAAGCATTTTATCCTATAAAAACTCTTAACTAGAATGAGCTAAGTAAAAGATTGGGCTCATCTTTCATTCCAACTAGTGAGGACACCAGAGAGCCCTTGTCATGTGGGCAACTGAACAAGCTCTTGAGGATTGGGCTGTGTAGGGAAGCAGCGGGACCAGGCCTGCAATCTGACTTGCACTACAGGGACCCCCAGTGAGTGTGCCAGCTGGGGAGGAAGTGGCATCTTGATTGGGAAGTCCAGAAGGGGTCCTTTTGAGCCTCCATCCCCTCCCACTTGCCTACCATGCTTTTCCCTGTGTGTTGTTGGCTCGTTGCTTCCTCTACCACCTGCTGCCTCCCTATTGCAGACTACAGCACACAGCTCTTTACTCCTTTTTCTTTCCGGACAGCCTTTTTTCTACCCAGCCAAGTACACAGTGGAGATTGAGAGCAGAGAAGAAGCCTAGGCTAGGACTGTTCTTATCATCTAGCTCCCTGTCCTTTGAGTTCTAAAGTTCCTGTCTCTTCTCTCCCAGAATCCAGGGGCCCTGGGGTAGTAAAACACACACACACACACACACACACACACACACACACACACACACACACACACACACACACACACACACACACACACACACACGGTTATATCCTGATTCCTGTCCCTCTATCCAGAAAGCCTACCCTTCCTCCCCCCCCCACCCACCCACCCACTGGGTTAAACCCTGATTCCTGTCCCTACAGCCAGAAAGCCTGCCTAGGGCCATCCTTGAGACCCTTCATAATCATTGGATATAGCCATAGGAAACTTCCCAGGGGAGGCACCTAGTTTCTGCATATTCCCTCACTCTCCTGGGTTCAGAGACCTCCCTGTATTGGGCATCCTCTCCTCTCTCTGGCCTCTGTTCTTGTCATTCTAACACACTCTCCCTTCTCTGGAGGACCCGGATCCTGCTTTTTTTTTTTTCAAAATAGACTTTTTTTAATTGTGAAAATACCATACAGAGGAGTTACAATTACATGGGCAAGATAACGAGTACATTTCTTCTCAAGCATTGTTGCCTCCTCTTTTGTTTCCCCTTCCCATCCCTTCCCATCCCCTCTCGCCCCCCCTACCTAATCCTCCCCCCCCCCCCACCAAAGTTGTAAAGTTCGTTTATCGGCATAACGACTTGTACATCTCATTGTTGCAATGGGTCCACCTGTATCCCTATTTAATTTTTTCCCTTCCCCTCCACAAATTATACCAACATCAAATACAGTGAAAGCAGGGGTTATACCGCGGGGAAGGGACATACAAAGCAACAAAGAAATCATCTTATAAATATGTTAGAAACAATTGCATGAAAGAAAAAAACATTTGAATACTTATCTTGGGGTTCATTTCCCTAACATCAACTTATCTGACCTTTTCTGCTTGACTCAGACATATGCTGGTTATTGCAAATAAGGGAAACCATGGGACCTATGTTTTTGGGGGCCTGGCTTACTTCACTTAATATAATTTTTTCCAAGCCTTTCCATTTCCTAACAAATGGGGCAATGTCATTCTTTCTGATGGAGGCATAGAATTCCATTGTGTTATACTGCTGTCTTGAGGATGAGGCTTCCTGCTTTCTCTCTGGCTGTTTTGAACATATGCTGTCCTTTGTGCTCTGTACGCCTTTTCATGTGTCCTCACCTTGTAAACGCCTTCCTGACTGGCAGCAGGGTTCAGACTCCCTGTTCTGAACATGCTTAGCTTCCCCTTCTAACTTGTGCTAAGGAAAGCAGAGGTTATAATAGATTCTAATAGAGTTCTGAGCAGTTATCAAACCAGCCTCCATACAGTATGTCCTTAGCTGTATTAACATAATGCTAATGCAACCTTTATGGCCTCCTGAAAACCCCAGAAGAGAAATTTTCATTCCAATTCTGTACAGAAGGACAGAGACTCACAGAGAAGTCAGTGACTTGGATATGATCACACAGCTAAAAAATGGCACTTCCAATTAATCACAAGGCACTGTATGGAGGGTGATATTTTGCCCCTTTGCACATTGGAACATTTTCCTTCCAAGAGAGCTGCTTCCGTGATGGGAGTGGCTGTAGCCCAAGTAACAACAGCAACTTCTGATGTGAGCAGGTCAGAGAAGTGGAGGAGCAGGTTGAGGCTTTGTGTCTTAACCAGGTAGGCTTGGCTCCACCTCCAAACAGACCTTTCCTCACAGAGAAGACACGATATTTCTGATGGCATTTTCATTGTGCCTGGAAGTTCATATGTGGCTTTGTGGCATTTTCAGATGTCACTTCTCAAGCACAGCTACTAATACCTTGTATCCTAATAGGTTATACATGATGCTCTTCAGAACCTGGATAAGAAATGCGATATCATTCATAAAAAATTAATGAGAATCCAGCGCTTGCGCAAACAAGCCCTTTGGTACTATCGTGTAAGTGTTTAAAGATATTCTCAGAACTCTGATAAATTTCTGGTTTTTAAAGAGGCCAGAGCTGGAAGTTGTTTCTTTTTAAAAGTAGCAACTTGGGTCTGGGAAGGTGGCTCAGTGGTAGAGCGCTTGCCTTGCATGCCTGAGGCCGTGGGTTCGATTCCTCAGCACCACATAAGCAAAAAAGAAAAAAGCCGGAAGTGGTGCTGTGACTCAAGTGGTAAAGCGCTAGCCTTGAGCTGAAGAGCTGAGGGACCAGCGCCCAGGCCCAGAGTTCAGGCCCCACGACCAGACCCCCCCCCCCCAAAAAGTAGCAACTTCAAGCTTAGGGTGATCAATACCTGCTATAGTAGTAGATGGCAGGGGCTGGGGGTGGGGAGAGGATAAAAGAAAGAATACTAAAGTCTAGGTTTAATAAATATATAGTATGAGTATTTTTCTGTTGCATGTATGATTTATACCACACAAAATAGAGGACTGAAGAATCTAAAGTAATCATATAATCAAAAGAAAATAAAGTTTTTAATGGTTACTCATTTTCTTTTTTATACACTGTTGATTTATGCTTGGTTTGTGTCATTTCAGAATACCGTGAGATTTTCATGCAGAAACAGCTACATGTTTTCTAGAAGAGCTAGAATTATGAAAAATAGAAATAGACGCTATAACACCAATTTGTTCTCCTCTTCTGAAAGCTGTCTTGACACCAGCATACCAGTTTGCAGGGAGGAAAATGATAACGAGGGTAGTACTGTGGACACCCCTGATTATTTTGATGAGCCCCAGTCAGCTCTGGAGGGATCTGAATTTAGGGAGCTGGAGTCACCGACACTGGGAGAGAATTCTCAGATTCCTACATCTTCTGTTGGTGAGTGCCGATCATATTTCAGACCTCATGATGGGATGGCAGTCTGCTTTGTCACCTCTTGAGAATTCCAGTAACCCTCTTTTCTGCTGAATCTTCTACAGCAATTTCTCCAACTTCACTGGACCAATCGATGAGCCATTCAGCCCACAGTGGACTCCCCATAGTGGAGTACAAGCACCCCGAGTCATCTGCATGCATCTCAACTGATTTTGGTGAGTTTGGAATGAATTCTGTGTGGTACAAGTAGCATTGTTTAACCTGTGTTTGTTAACATCCTCTGGGCCAGCTAGTAGAAGCTGTTTCCTATTTTAAGGCCTGGTTTGGGAGAAGTTTATAATGATGACTAATGTTTATTGTGAGTAAGGTACTGTACTCACCAACTAACAGGACTCTTCTCCCTGTCTTCTCCCCTGAGGCCTGTAATGAATGGCCCCATTATGAATTTTTTAATCTTCTATTTTTCTTTAGCTTTTGTCCTAGATAAGGTAACTCAAAACATGCTTAGGTGGTAGACAAGAAAGGATTTACCTTTGGCTAATGCACACACAGAAAAGGTCAAATTTGTATTGACTATCCTTGGTTAGAGAAACAAATCTTCTAGCAAATTACATAACACACTAACTTTAGGTTGCAGTGCTCTGCTTGAGTTAATGAGTACTTTTCCCAATACAAAGAAATTTCCCAACAACTTAGTGAACAGTTCAGCTAAAACCTGTTGACCTGTGAACACCTTATTTCATGTCTGTTTTTTTTTTAATTAAACATGTAACCTTTCAGAGTATCTACTGCAGTACAATTAAACATGAAAGAAGAATTAAACAAAATATTGTAAGTTACTTCTTACCTAGCTCAGAAGAATGTAATTGTTTTCTTTAAAATTCAGATTAACATTTAAGCCATGACAGATAGTAATCTAAAGATTAAAAGTGGTTCTAAAAATATCCACATTGAAATCATAAGAGATTTGGCAAAAGAACTAAGTCGGGTCTCTAAGATAATGGAGTTTCTGAAAGTGTTTGATTAAAGTGAAGAGTTTCAGGGCTGGGGATAGCTTAGTGGCACAGTGCTTGCCCCACAAGCACAAAGCCCTGGCTTTCGTCCCCAACAAGCATCACAGAAATGTAATGAAGTTTAGGAAATTATAAACCTGTAAATTTGGGGAATTTCCATATATTTAGTAAACCTAATTTAGATAGACTAGGAAGAGATTAAAAGAGATATCAGGGGAAATTCAGTACGCTTAAAGTAGGAGAGTAATGGATTAGGTTAGACAAACCTAATTTAATCCAAGAATTGCATCTTTATCCGTTCTTGCTTGTGACCCAGGAAACCTTGGGTCTGTGATCTTTGAAGCTGTCAGGTATCTTTTGAAGCTGCTCCTGTGATTCGGGAGAGATCATGTGGAACACAGTTAGGAAGCTGTCCTCATATCATCTTTATTCAGGCTTCCCCCAGATTTTCACATTGGAGTCTCAAGTTCTTCCTTGTGTACTTGAGAGAAAGTTCTAGGAATGAGACCACTCACTACTCCCTACCTTAACATAATTTCTTTCAAAATAGTGGTCACATCAAGTGTGATTTGTGTTTGTTTCTCTATTGAAGTTGAAGGACTTGACTCTGTTGTCCTAAAACAAGAAACCCTTGAGGACCCTTCAACTTGGTCTGTGGATGAGGTGATTCTGTTTCTGAAGCGAGCGGAACCTCAAATGGCATGCTTCCTCGCTGGTCTCATCCAGCAACATGTAATGTATCTTTTGATCTTTTTTTTTTTCCTCCCTAGCAACCCTAATGCTGTGGAATGTCCTCTGTGCAGACCTTTCAGTTAGTTTTTTCTTCATATTAGAATATATTAATTATACAGAGGGATTTAACCGTGCTATTTCCATAATGCGTATAATGTACTTTGAATTCACTCCATTATTACTTCTTGTTCTCCCTCACCCCCATCAGTAATGTTGACATACTTATATTCCTAGTCCTTGTCAGAAAGATAAAGAAATAACTGCTGGTCAGATACAACAGTGTTAATTATTATAAATTCCTTTCGTCTGTAGGAAATTGATGGAAAAGCCCTGTTACTTCTTACAACTGACATGATGATGAAATATATGGGGTTGAAGCTAGGATCAGCCTTAAAGCTATGCTACCTCATTGAAAAGCTCAAGAAAGAAAGACGCTTCCCAAATTGAAAGAAAACCCATTTGCAGAAATTTTGATTGAGTATACCAAATCTTCTTAAATAAAGGCAGTTTTCTGCCCTTAGATTTGTTTTAAAGAACGTTCTTCTAAAAGTATCTTATATCTAGAATTTGATAACTACAATATTCTAACAAATCAACTTTTTTCAAACCTATATCACATGTTCTTCTTATTCTGGTTTGATTTTTATTCTTTATGTCTTTTGATATTTTGTATAATTTACAAATAGCGTTTTGTACCTGAAACAACAAAAACCACTTGGCATGGATTCCTTTTTCTATGTAGAATCAGAACAGCCAACACACACACACACACACACACACACACACACACACACACACACACACACACACACACACACACACACACACACACACACACACACACACACACACACACATTCCAGGACTGACAGCTCCTATAACCTGTGGGAAATTTTTCCTCATAAGGGAATATAAAGGCAAATGTAGTAAGCATCTCAGATATTTTAGCTCTGATACTATTCTGTTTTCCAGAAAAGCAATAGCCACATAATGTTCTCATTTCATTATATCTTCACATCTTTCATTAGTCAGGTTTAGAAGGAAACGCAAATTTATAAATTTTCAGATCTTAGATAGGTTTTAGGATAGAGTGATGATTCCATGTCAGATATTGCACTTATTTAAAAGAGTGATTTGGATAGAGTCTTACTATATTTTGTTCAGATAAATAGCTGTTACCATAAAACTTTCCTATTTTAGCTAACATTAGGAATTTAGCTAGGAATTTGTTGTTTCTATATCTTTGTAAAGCCCTCAATATCCAAGCTTTTTACATACATATTTTATTGCATGTATTTATTCCTCACAAGCATAGTTTCATACTTAAATTTTATTCTATATCTGAGCTATGCACACAAGTCTTTGGAATTTAAAATGGTACTTTATACTACTACAGAAGTAATGCTCAGCTACATGTCAGCTCAAGGCTTTTCTCCTGTAAAAGACATCTGGGTCATTTGCCATCACTCATAGCTGTGCTCTTCAGGGAATCAGAAATGGTAGATTGGTTTCTATACAGAGAAGTTCTCTGACTTGTGCCATATGTGCTGCTAAGCTTTGGAAGAAAAACATGCACCTTATTATTTTGTTATTACTTGATCTTACATCGTGTACTGTTTAGTGTAACATAAGTAATGAGAATTGGTGCTAGTATTATTAGCCCATTTTTATAAATATTAGTATGTTCACCAGAGATAAGGATTCTTTTTTTTAAAGAAAACTAAGTGTACTTTATTCACAAGTGTCAGATGCAAATGAGTGTGCATGGTGTAAAGGATTCCTTCATCCATGTTGCTCCTTGTGCAACATAAAACACAATTCTGAAGCTTGGCCTTTCAAATTGTTTGTATGAAGATCCTGTGCCCAGTTAAAAAACCCTCAGGTGTTTGAAAAGTACTGTGTTCCACCACTTTGGGATTTTAAAATATAATAAAGTTAAATGACTGCATTAAATGCCAAAGCCTCCAACTTTATTGCACTTATTTTCACCTTATTACAGTAATGTATGAATTTATTAAAGTTGAAAAACAGTTACTCCCATAGATTTCTGTAGCTTTTTATATCTAGCTACTTGCGTTTTAGAGCATGCCTTGATTTCTTTTGGTAAACGTAACCAGGAACAAAGGGCAGTAGTCTTAAAGAGACCTGATGAGGCCCTCAAGAAAAAAGTTTAACTGTCATCAAGGTTTATTTCTGCTCAAAACATTCGTTGCTGACAGTATTATGGGACTGTGTGAGTTTACTAGAAAATACCAATCTCCCCCTGTCCCAAGACACCTCCTCTCATTGGTGTAGTTGATAATACTGGCTGATTTTTTTTTTTACCATTGAGGCTACAGGTCACCTCCTTGATATACCTGGTGTTGTCTCTTCTGCCTTCTGATCCCCAACAGGATCCCTTGGCAACTCTGTGTGAGAGCTAAGTAGCCTTAATTTTCTGGCCCGCATGTTTCACCTCATTTTGTTTATCTTTGCCTTTTGATTTCTCTACAATATATTGCTTTTATAATAATGGTTCAGTTACAAAAATACCAACACCATTATAGCCAAACCACTGAGGAAAATCAAAAGGAAACAAAGCATGGCCATTTAGCAGGTGACAACTGTGAAAACATAAGGGAAAAAGCACAAATACATCTATATATAAGTAGGTTAAATGCCCACATAGAGAAGATTCAGAGTTTAGATTTTAAAAGCAATTATATGCTTTTACCTACTTTGTCGTATGTCTTAGACATTAAAAAAGCTCAATGAAAACTGATCAGCAAGCAAGCCAAAAGTAGGTCAATACCCAGACAAAGAATTACAGGCAAGAGCAGGCAGCATATCAGGATTAGTTATATGGTTATAGGAGGTTCAAATACAGGTATAAAATTGTGGATGATCAATTACATAGAATCAAAAAGTAGAAAATAAGCCCAGAAAGACCACATGGGTGTTTTAGTAGAAATATGAGATATAAACAACTTGGAAAAAAGGCTCTGAAAAAAATGACATATTGATATAATTGAGAAATACACCTTAGATTCAACAAAAGGTATGGTAGTAATCTAGTAATACCAGCACTCAGGACGCTGAGGTGGGAGAATCAAGAGTTCAAGGCTAACCGAGGTTAAATACTGTGTACCAGATCAGACTGGGATACATAATAGGACCCTTCACTGAAAAGCGCTCTTTTTAAGAATCCATACAACTTCACACGACTGAATACCCACCAAATCACAAAGCATAGTGTGAGTTACAGAAAACAGTGTTGCCTATAGTCTAGGACTCAGAGTTAGTCTTCCGAGGGACTAGTAAATCAACACTCACCACGTGTAATTTTTTTTTTTTTTTTTTGCCACGGTACTCTTCTGAACTTTCTCCTCAAGTTCCAGGCCTGTGTATTCAACTGTTGATGGATGTCTGTACCTCTTGGTGCTCAGGCATCTCCTACAACCGAGTCCTCTCCTGTTGTCTTTGCTATTGCATTCTTTCAAAACCAGCAGTTCCTGCTTGTTCATTACCAGCACCCTGACCTACTCATCTGTCCAGTTTCCCAGAATAGTGGCTGCCAGTGGAAGCTCCTGTTGACCACTCCCCTGCAGTCCTGAGCTCACCAGGCCTCCGGCATCCCACCTCTCATGATTCCTCTGATTGCACTTCCCTCTTGCCCCTTCCTAGGCCTTGCAGCCAAATAGACACTTTAGAAATAAACTCCTCTAGGAATACCTTGGTGCTGAACTCTGGGCCTGGACGCTGTCTCTGAGCTCTTCAGCTCAAGGCAAGCGCTCTACCTCGTGAGCTACAGCACCACTTCCGGTTTTCTGGTGGTTTATTGTAGATTAGAGTCTCACAGATTTTCCTGCCCTGGTTGGCTTTGAACTGCAATCCTCAGATCTCAGCCTCCTGAGTAGCTAGGATGACAGGTTCACCACTGGAGCCCGCTTGACATCTTTATTTCTACAGAAGCAAGATCATGTTAGCCTTTGTCTTTACTTTTTTTGTGTGCTAGTCCTGAGGTTTTTTGTTTGTTTGTTTGTTTTTGCTTATGGCTACTGCTTTATTATTTAAGCCACAGCTCCACTTTTGGCTTTTTTAGATGTTAATTGGAGATAGGAGTCTTGAACTTTCTTGCGTAGGCTGGCTTCAGATGGTGAGCCTCAGATCTCATCGTCCTGAGTAGCTAGGATTGCAGGCGTGAGATCCCGGGAAAGTGGGACATTCCTTGGCATCCCCTTGAAAACTTAAGTAGACAGCACAGCATAGATATGTAATCTCATTCTCCCCTTGCTTTCTCTCCCCCTTCCTTTCTTCTCCCCCCAGTAACGAACCAATGGAATCCACTCTCATAGCCACTGGGATATAGACAGCTTCATAGCCTCATGGTGTGATTCCTTTAGAGGAAAAACAAAACGCGTATATGGAAGTTGCTCCCGGTGGGTTGCCCCGCCCCTCCCCAGTCCCCAGGAAGCTCTTCCTGAGTCCCTAATGTCCAAATCCCTACTGCGGGCCCGGGTTTTGCTGCAATGCAGCAAGCACCTGAGACTTTGTCAGACTCACTAGGGCTCAGGCCAGGCCCCACGTGCCGCCCTGCCATGCGCAGCCGAGCTGTGTGCAGGGTTCACGCCCCAGGTGGTCACGCCCTTGGTGCGTTATAGGGTGGCCAGCAGCGTTTGTGATGGCGTAGAACAGAAGCGATGCGAGCACCGTGCGCAGGGCCCCAAGTGTCCCGTGGGTCGCCATGCTGCAGTGACTTTCAAAAGTCACTTCACCCTCATCCTTCGCTGGCACGGGGGATTCAGCCTGCTTCGTCCCGCTGTCTCCCCTGAACCCCAGGGGGGGTGCTAGGAACGGCGGGGTTGCCTGGGGAGTGGAATGTCACGATCTGGGGACGGGACTGCGGGCAGCAGTGCGCAGTAGGGATCGGCCTGGAGGCCTGCGAGGGTCACCCGAAGCTCTGCAGCTCCCGCGCCCCCAGCGCCGGCCTGGTTCGCGGGAGTCTGTCCTGGGCTGGAACCCCCGAGGATCTTGAGAGTTCCCTTGGGGTGACGGGTGCGGCCCGGGTGGAGGAGCGACCAAGACCAGCGGTGACTCGGGACGCCCCTTTGCCTCCTCCCCTCTGGCGGGCTGGTGCTCCCGGCTGCTGCCTGCCTCCTTCCAGCTCCCTCAGGTATTGCAGGCCCTTCCTCCCCGCTGCGGATTCCAAGGCCCACGCCCACCTTTAGGGCCACGTTTCCTCCCCCCAAGAAACGCTGAGGTCGCCCTGCCCCTTGGGCTCACCGCTCTGAGCGTTGCCCTCTTGGCTTTGGTTTCAGCCCTGGAGGCAGCTTCAGCGCGGGCTCCTCTCTCCTGGGCTAGGCTGCAACCGCCAGACCTCCTGGGAATCAAGGGTGAGGGGCTACTTTCTGAGCCCTCGGAATATCAATCCGGATCGGTGTCCTCGTTCTCAAACACTGGCCAGCTTCCTTCAGAGAAGGAAATTCCCTGTAGTCGTTGCAGAGTTCGCACAGCAGGGGGTGCTGTCTCCCAACGCAGACAAAGTGGGAAGAGGCTGGTTTCTCTTCAGCAGGTGGGCCAGGAAGTAATGGCTCTTTTGAGT